AAAAAGGGAAACACCAAACCCATTTTCCAGCATGGTTTTTCTACAGTCAAACAATTGCTAAACTGAAACTGAACACAATAGCTCTTCTAAATCAGTGACAATTTTTCTTCAAATATTGCTAAACTTCTGAATAGGCGGCCGGTAGAGGTATCTAAAGCATGAATCATGTTCTTTTCAAGAGATACCCAAATAGGATGCCTATCAAGCCAACAAGGATAACGTACATGAACGGGATGCCACCTTGGCTTCTGCTCCTTTGACGCCTCAAAAGCTCCTGTCAGTACAGAATCATAAACAAATAATGATTAATTAATTAATTAATTTACAAGCAATTAGATTTACGAGAAAATAACAATAATGCTCTTAAGGAAATCCATGTTGGCCCACAAAAAATCACTCCCGTAGCTTAAGTCTTTTGACAATCGGATTTCATAAGATCCTGCATACTAAATTCCACTCAGGACTAGATCTAATCCAAAATTAGATGCCCTATGTTTATGTGCAAGGAGCATTTTTATATGGGATTTACAGGGTCAGTGATGTCAAATCCAAACTGTTGTATGACATTAGACAACAATATTTTGGTTGCAGTGCCTCACAATGCTCAAGTAGTCAAGTGTAATTCAGAATACATTTTCATTGATTTGCTAAGGTTAAGAGAAAACTTTGAGAAACAATAGGATACAGCTAAGAGTAATAACAATAATAATCATCAAGCATCGAGAGTGTGGTTCGCTGAGACTATAAGCTCTTCAAAACATTCAAACCACGTCATAGAGAGTTTATGATATTCATCTGTGCTCCGTAACGTTCCCAAGGAAGTATCTTATCACATCAACATCATCAACATCAACATACCCAGTATATTCCCAAACAGGTTGGGGTCTGGGGGGTCAGTTGTACGCAGACCTTACCCTTGTAAATTACAAGGAGGTTGTTTCCATAGCGACCCAAGGTGCGTTGCGCCGTTTGATATATTTTTTCTAGAAACTTCACTAATAGAAGAAGCACTAGAATTTAATTGAGCCATTTTGATCTAGTCCATTATTTACACGATATTTGCACGATGCCAGAAGAATTGTCAACACTGACTTTTCCAGCTCCATTTGCAATGGACTCACAAGAAAGTATCTTATAGGCCCCTAAAAATGTGCAAGCCCCATTTTTATAAAATAGAATCATATATTTATAACCCGATTTTTCTATGGAGCCATCGGATGGCTCGGCTTATTGAGCCATCCACAGTTATCTACAAATGGTGTATTGACATGTGTCCTACAATAAATACACATTGGACATGTGTTCAGTACGTTACAGATGGTTCCATAGATTTTTTTTGTTTACAACCCCCTCCGACGTTCATCAATGCAATTAGACAATTTTTTTTTTTTTTGACATCTCATGATTAGCTGTACCTTCTCACGTTATCCAATAGCTTCAGCATATTTTCAAATTAGATCTTCCATGATCCAACAAAAACAAATTCACATAATGAAGATGCTTATAAGGTCTTTCATGCAAGCTCAGTAGCTCACCCAGAGACCTTTAATTGATAGACATGAGTCCACATCGACACAATGCAAATCAGAAGTACTTACTCTACGTGGGTGAAATTGAGTGAGGGAAAGCAATCCACCAAAATTCAGAAAACAAAATGATTACCAATTCATTCTGAAGCCTGTGATTTTGCTGAATAACAGAATGCTTCTCCTCAGTAAGCCTGGAAATCAGGGACTTAACCTACAATAAAAGAAAAGACAATACCAACAATGTTCTGTTACTTATTCAGTTAGCAAAAGAATCCAACATGTCATACATTTGTTTAACCTTAAGCACTGAGCTGTGAGTAAAATGCAGAAACCGATTTCTACGTTTTCAGAATTAACAAAATTCACTCGGTCAATCACTACTAGCTAGGTTGATTGCCCTTTTGAGCTCTTAATGTCATGGAAACCAATCAATAACATCACTCCTGATTATATGAAATGAGATGAACACCCAGCATCAAGTCAAATTTTCAAATTATATTATGCTCTCCTAGTTCAAGAAGAAAAAATAGACATTGCATCAATGAAATTTATACAGTGATCACTGTGATTCTCCAAATACATAGATGTACAGAAACTGGGAAAAGGTGAGAATACAAGTAAACTCTAAATTTTCAAATTCTATTATGCTCTCCTAGTTCAAGAAGAAAAAATAGACATTGCATCAATGAAATTTATACAGTGATCCCTGTGATTCTCCAAATACATACATGTACAGAAACTGTGAAAAGGTGAGAATATAAATAAACTCTAAATATGACCAACTCGAGCAAAATAAGATACTGAATTAAGTACCGCAAACATTCCAAATCATTAATTAGTGATCAAGTGAAAAAGGGGAAAGAACCTCAGATGTATTCTCCTGAGTCTCAACAAGTCCTTTCGAAACCTGTAGCCATAGAAGAAAACCAATAAATATCAAATTTTTAAATGAAATAGCTAGTGCCTAAGAGTTGAATACTCAAATACAATCACATCCCGTCACCAGACGTCCAGATACTCACAGCATTGAAATCAGAGGTCTGATTCACATGTCCATTGTCCGATACAGAGGCCCTTGGGGAGGAACCCTCTTCCGACCCTTCCCGGACAGGCGACGGTGGTTGGGCAGGCGGTACATACACAACTTTCAACTTGCATTCATCAACTTGGTTTCCAGACTCTTTGTTGAACTAAATTAACAACGGTGAAAGAGCAGACTTATTGGTTACTAAACCCGAAAATTCGAAATCTAAACTACACAAGATTGATATACCATCTCAGCAGTAATATCCTTCATCATCAATCCAGGGCTCACGACTGCACTCTGAAGAAGAAATTTGTCCTTGCATTGCATGTCAACCGGAGCCTCCTTTTGGGCTTGCATCGTTACTGAATGACGAAACAACTTACAAGCTTAAAATAAATTTTCCCTTTCGAATTGTCTTAAATTTAAACAGAATTAGTCTCTGTATAATGAATTGAACAGGAAAACAAATACTTCAAGAGACCTATAACATCACAGGAGGAGCGGGGAGCCACTATTCCCGTGTTTGGCCTCACGCAGTACTTCTTTGGATTTGTAGTTTTCACCTGAATACATATAAAAAAAAAAAAAGGAATGCGAAAATCAGGCACTCTCAGAAGCAAATGCCCTTTTCCTTTCTTCACGCAATTTTTGTTATACTTTCCACGCGAAACGAGAACGCAACAAACTAAGCAGAAGCTAAACATGAGTTATACCTTAAACGCAACATAATTATCAGATTTGTTGCTCAATTGCATGTTACATGAGATCTGCTTCTTCAATTCGACTTTTACAAAACAAGGAAAGGAAAAATTGGGAAAAAAGTTAGTATCACGGGAGATTAATATGTAACATCCTATGATCAGTCGAAATCAGAAATCAGAATACTCCATGAGCTTCTATCGAACATGAAATCAAACCACAAGAAACACGAGTTTATAAAATAGAGACGTAAGCAAAGTCGAAAAGTTGATAATTACATGGGAATTGAAGCTCGAGCGGCTCGATGTGGAGGAGGTCGCCGTTGCTCATTATCACGCGGATCGCCGAAGAGTTCAGTATACGCCGGATTCCGGCGGCGGAACTTAAACAAACAGCTACACCGACTGAAGAGGAGAGACCTGGAGTTCTCGAATTTATGGGGAATTTTTTTGTTTCACTCCTTTTTTTAGAGAGAGAAAGCAAGAGAGTGGAAATAGATGAATAAATGGCGAAGGAGAAAAGTGCAGTCTCCAGTCTCCACTCGTCACACACTCCAGTAAAACTGGCAAATCTCTTTTAATTAAAATCGCGTTTTCTGGACTTATATTGTCGTGGACAGTTTTCCCCAATAAGCGTGTTAATTTAGGTGATGGTGTGAAATGTAATTAGCTTCTTTTCCCAGTACAAAATTATGAACATAGAAAATTCATATCCTTTATATATTAATCAAGAACGCGCTGAGCCTACTTAGCTACTTCTGGTGTTTCGAAATCCTATGTGGCAAAATTACATGCTTGGTTATTAGACTTGGGTAAAATTTTTTTAAAAAAATAGCAAGCTAGCATAAATCAGATAGAGATTAGTACCCGTTTAAACTAAAATTACCATTTTTGAGAAATGGCAATTATCATCCTATGAGCAAATTACATCACTGTCCCCACTGAGTATATAGAATGCACAGTCGCACTTGTGTGCACGCAACATCTAATAAGGTAATCTATTTATCAAATTTAGTAGGCTGAAAAGTCAACGTAATTAATGTATTGTTATTTCTATCAAGAATTTTATTTAATTATTTTATTTATTTGTCTTATATTTCATAAAATCAGTTTAAGAAAAAAAAAATCTCATAACATATGATAAGTAAAAAAAAGGACGTAAAATGTTTACTAAAATAAAAAAATGTTTTATTTATTTGTCGTATTCCATATTAACATCGATTTTGTCAAAACAAATCTCATAAAATCGGTGAAGTCAAAATTTGTATGTAAAGTCTATCTATACTAAAAAAAGGCAGATACAAAATTTCTTATCTAATTCCTTCTTTTCTTTATTTAGTTCTTTCTTATTATCCAATTGTATGGAAATTTGTTCAATCCTCTAATTGTATTTGTATTATTTCTCATAAAATCGGTTTAACAAAAAAAACCTCATAACATCTAATAAATAAAAAAAAAAGTACGTAAAATCTTTACGAAAATAAAAAAGGCTTTATTTGTTATCTAATTTATTATCTAATTGTATGAAAACCTGTTCTGATTTTGTTCAAAATCGATTTCTGTATATTCAGATTCAGATTTTCTAATAAATATATTAACAACAATATATATCTACTCTATCCATTATAAATTACAAATCTCAAAATATCGAGCCATCATCTTCTTCACTGTCAACCTCCTGCGAACAAAAAATATCTTCAATCAGTCTTTTTTCAAAACAATGAATCAATGATTTGAGTTAATCAAACAAGTCAATAGGTCTAATAGATCTATGCTCAAAGTTCGAATTGTGATAATGTTTTTCCAAGACTGGGGCAGCACATACAAATCAATATCTCGAGTTGGTTCTGCATAATAAAACTTTAAGTCAAATTATTTGAATTTGTGTTTTAATTTTGAAATTTGAAATGTATATTTTAATTTTTTTATTTTCGTGTATGTATTTAGATATTTTTGTACATGTTTCATGATAAGATATTTTCGATTATTTTTTAAATTATATTTTAAATTTGCAATTTAATTTATTTATTCTAAGTATCATGTATGTATTTAGATATTTACATTATTTATATTTCTAGGATTTTCTTGCCACTTAATTCTTACGCTCTTACATACATGTCGTTTGCACATAACAAAATGTATAATACAATTCATCGTTGTTAACTTAAACTACGCGAATATCACATTAAAA